TTCCTCTCCCCACCCTCCCACTCATGCCCAGTCTGCTTATACCCGGACCCCGTATCACTGAGCTACTTAAGTGTCTCCAATAACAGATTCTCATTGTCTACTGATACCTTAGTTTCTCGTGTTCCAGTACCCCACAGACAGCCTGCCCATCCCCCCGACACCCAGCTCTCCCTTTCCCCACCAGGGACCTCCTTAATCATCCCTCCTGGTGTGGATGGTGACGGTGCAGTGCGCTAGGTAGGGCAAGCAATATAGATAGCAGGCTAAGGCTGCATGCATACAGCATGTACAGAGGAGAGTTTTACGTTTCTTTGTAACTTTCTCGGGCACTGTCTTTAATACAACTCCCTTATGTTGGTTATTTTTCTTTCTTTTTTTGTTTTTAATGAATGCGCTGCTTCTGAACACATAGGGGAGCTGCCCTTTCCCCACCCCGCCCCCCGCACCCCCGCACGTGTAAAACTGCGGCACTGCAGGTGTCTTTTTTAGCTTCTCTAAAGCTTTAGGGCAGTTAATCAACACGTTCATGTTCCTAGGCTCTCTTTCTGGGGGATGAAGCCTCGAATGAAGCTTTTAGCGTGTTCAAGTGTGTAGGCGCAGGACAGCAGAGAATGAGTTTGGAACCAACTGGCAGAAGACCGACTTGCTAAGGCAGCTGCGCTCTCTGCAGCCGGAAACTTCAGGTTGCCGGTGTCTCCACCCAGCTCGATTCCTGCTTGGTATCACCAATTCCTTCATATTAAAGGCCCCCTTCCCACTTTTTACACCTGCAGAGCACCCAGCCTGATGACTCGGACAGGCCATGCAGGTGGCTGATGTTCAGAGAGAGGCTTCTGCACCCAACCCTGAGTGCCCGGTGGTCTCCAAGGAGAGAATTCAGCCCCTAGATTTGTCATTATAGGACGGAGGGAAAATAGCTGCGTGATGCCTCCTCCGGTTCTAATGATCTAATAAATACATAACAGATGCTGTCAGGATCCCAGGGATTTCCTTTAGGAAGCACCGGTGCTGGAAACTGCACTCCTAGTGCACCCGAGCACAGCCTGGCAGCTCACCGAGCATTTTCACACTCAATGTTAGGAGCCCTCCGGTTTCATGAAAGGATTGCGGGGATTCACATAAGATACCTACACATTTTTTTAAGCAAACACTTTCATTTTGCTTTGTGTGTGTAACACAGCATTCCATGTGCAACTTGCTGATTTTTTAAAAGGCAAAAGAAGGGGAAACATGATACCTGAGCCTAGAACCTGGAATCGCTTTCCCTGTGATACTCAGAGGGTGAAGTCCTCAGAGCTGTGGCACAGTTGTTTCCGGAGGGGTTGCACCCCTTTCCCGAGACCCAGGTGAGGTTAGGCTTAGCCTCTGAGAGCCATTCCCACTCTAGAAAAACCCACGATCCTGCTACCCCATGGTCCTCATAGTAGAGGGGAAGCAGAAATGGATCGTGGGGGTTACTAAGCTATCTGTTGTCTCAAGGCAATTTCAGAAACACTGGTATTTGTCATTTTAATCTATAAAGACTGAATGATCTTCCTAGATCAAGCCTAGGACTTCAAGCCTGAGGTTACTAAGCTGTCCTGGGCAGCAGCAGCCAAGCTGAGGATTCTGCGCAAAAGGAAAGGCGGGGGCGAGCGACAGCTGCGGCTCGTGTCCTTCCCACTTTTCTCTGAGACCCTGTTTTCTGAGACCCAGTTCCCCCTACTCATTTCCTTTCTCTACCCACCCTCCCACTCATGCCCAGTCTGCTTATACCCGGACCCCGTATCACTGAGCTACTTAAGTGTCTCCAATAACAGATTCTCATTGTCTACTGATACCTTAGTTTCTCGTGTTCCAGTACCCCACAGACAGCCTGCCCATCCCCCCGACACCCAGCTCTCCCTTTCCCCACCAGGGACCTCCTTAATCATCCCTCCTGGTGTGGATGGTGACGGTGCAGTGCGCTAGGTAGGGCAAGCAATATAGATAGCAGGCTAAGGCTGCATGCATACAGCATGTACAGAGGAGAGTTTTACGTTTCTTTGTAACTTTCTCGGGCACTGTCTTTAATACAACTCCCTTATGTTGGTTATTTTTCTTTCTTTTTTTGTTTTTAATGAATGCGCTGCTTCTGAACACATAGGGGAGCTGCCCTTTCCCCACCCCGCCCCCCGCACCCCCGCACGTGTAAAACTGCGGCACTGCAGGTGTCTTTTTTAGCTTCTCTAAAGCTTTAGGGCAGTTAATCAACACGTTCATGTTCCTAGGCTCTCTTTCTGGGGGATGAAGCCTCGAATGAAGCTTTTAGCGTGTTCAAGTGTGTAGGCGCAGGACAGCAGAGAATGAGTTTGGAACCAACTGGCAGAAGACCGACTTGCTAAGGCAGCTGCGCTCTCTGCAGCCGGAAACTTCAGGTTGCCGGTGTCTCCACCCAGCTCGATTCCTGCTTGGTATCACCAATTCCTTCATATTAAAGGCCCCCTTCCCACTTTTTACACCTGCAGAGCACCCAGCCTGATGACTCGGACAGGCCATGCAGGTGGCTGATTTTCAGAGAGAGGCTTCTGCACCCAACCCTGAGTGCCCTGTGGTCTCCAAGGAGAGAATTCAGCCCCTAGATTTGTCATTATAGGACGGAGGGAAAATAGCTGCGTGATGCCTCCTCCGGTTCTAATGATCTAATAAATACATAACAGATGCTGTCAGGATCCCAGGGATTTCCTTTAGGAAGCACCGGTGCTGGAAACTGCACTCCTAGTGCACCCGAGCACAGCCTGGCAGCTCACCGAGCATTTTCACACTCAATGTTAGGAGCCCTCCGGTTTCATGAAAGGATTGCGGGGATTCACATAAGATACCTACACATTTTTTTAAGCAAACACTTTCATTTTGCTTTGTGTGTGTAACACAGCATTCCATGTGCAACTTGCTGATTTTTTAAAAGGCAAAAGAAGGGGAAACATGATACCTGAGCCTAGAACCTGGAATCGCTTTCCCTGTGATACTCAGAGGGTGAAGTCCTCAGAGCTGTGGCACAGTTGTTTCCGGAGGGGTTGCACCCCTTTCCCGAGACCCAGGTGAGGTTAGGCTTAGCCTCTGAGAGCCATTCCCACTCTAGAAAAACCCACGATCCTGCTACCCCATGGTCCTCATAGTAGAGGGGAAGCAGAAATGGATCGTGGGGGTTACTAAGCTATCTGTTGTCTCAAGGCAATTTCAGAAACACTGGTATTTGTCATTTTAATCTATAAAGACTGAATGATCTTCCTAGATCAAGCCTAGGACTTCAAGCCTGAGGTTACTAAGCTGTCCTGGGCATTGTCTTGCCCAGGCAGACACCATAGGCTCTTATGCTGGTGACTTTTTATAGCCAAGATAACCTTGGTCTTCTCATTCATCAGACTGAATGGTGGGAAAGACTTCTGGAGGAAGGTGGGTGGAGAGAGAAGCCCTGTAGCAGGTAGCTCGTAGTTATCCATGGGCGGATAAAAAGTGGCAGAAAGGACTTGTTTTTTAACTGACTCCATGTAAACCACATTGTTTTAAAGTCAGTGTGTGTGACTCGGCATAAAGCACTTAGGTATTTTTTAATTCATTTCTTTTGTGCCTGCTTCTTTCCGCAGGAGTCTCAGGTCACTCTCAGAGAGGCTAAGTCCATCAGCCTTTTTTTCTTTTTCTTTTCCTTTTTTTTTTTCCCCTGCCAGGACTTCTTGCTGAAGCCTTGGACTGCAGAGGCCACCCAGATAGGAGTGGGGCGGTGGCTGATGCTGCAGAACCAGTGGGGAGCCAGGAGAGAAGAGACCAGTGGGGCACCCGCTGCCATCCCTCCGGAAGCTGACAAGGGGGGCACACGGAGTGGAGAAGGGTGAGAATGGGAGGGCTGAGAGGCCCTGTCCTTTGCAGAGTCTGGCTGGCGAGTGGGGGAGGGGTAGATCAACGGGATTGACAGTGTGGATCTCTGGTCTTTCCTATAATAAGAGCTCCCGGTATGGCCTCCTCCTTGCTCTAAGGGGCTTCTGAACACAGTGGCGATCTGGGTTTGAGTCCTTTGCCTCCTACCGTCCTCTGCTGGGTGCCTGCCTCTCCTTGACTATTCTGTCCAGTCATCCTCCTTCTCAAATCCTTTCCAAGCATTTTGCTCTGAAAACTCACATGGCATTTGCTCTGTGTGTCAAAGTCAAAGTTAAGTAAGCAAAAAATAAGTAAAATAACTTTAGGAAATCTGTTTAGAAGGAAAAAAAATCCTGACTCCCCCCCCGTCCCCCCCTCCCCGTGCACCATAAATGTTTTCTGCAGTTGTGTTGCTTGCAGGAGCACCCTTATCTCCTTAGATGAAGCTTTCAGGTCATTACACAGTTGTGCATTCATCCCCCTGTAAGCACCTTCTCCCACAAACATCAAATTTGCCACCAAAACGTTCCTAAGAGATTACAATGTATTAAAGAACAAATATAAAAGGATGTTGATGAAACATGAATAGATTCCTACCACTGTTATCCTTTATATCGCTGCTATAATCCTCTAAAGGACTGTTCAAAGTCATTTAGTTTAAAAGTCAAAATATATTCATGCTACCAAAAAGTTCATCAGCCTTCTCAAACATTGAACCTATTTTACTTCTCCATTGCCCATAGAATCCAAAAGCTTCAGACAGACAGGATCTGGTGACTGGTGACTTGTCATTTCATTATTCTAAAAACCCAAACACAGTGGGAACTTCTATACTGCCCTTTCTTTAGAAAGGCTCAGCTTCAGGCTGAAGTTCCTATAGGCAGGGCCCATGAAAAGCTTCAGTGGATCTGGAGAGCCA